AAAACAGCACCTATACGTTTTAAGAGATGATTGTTTAATCTCTTTCGGTGATCAGTGAATTATGCTGCAGAAAGAGACACTTGGCAACATTGTACGGCAAGCAGCAAATGTCCGGTTGGAGACTAGGTCCGCCTTACTTTGGCGCGCGGTTCGAGGGGTTAAACCTGGGTCCCTCTTGCAAAGGTGTATAATGTATTGCAGTATTCTGTTGATCGTATTTAAAATGCGCAGCTCTGCCTTAAGATAATTAATATCAAATTATTTCATTTTTGCTCGCTCTATTAATTATTGTGTCTGATAGATTGAAACAAAATTCGTAGGGCGCGGCCAGGCCCAAGCATCTTATTATCACTCCGCCGCCCATGAAATTCCGGAATTAACCAATAGGAATTACGGGAAATTAATCGCGAATCAAGAAAAGTGCTCATAATAAGCCTTAAGCTGTGAATTTCTTAAACTGTTAGTGAATATAAAAATTAAAAAAGAGGTATTTGGTAAATCTTATTGTGACGCTCTGCTAGAAAAAAAAGAAAGCGTAGGAGAAATTTTAAGAGAGATCTGCTCACATTCGGAAGTTTTGTTTCTCAACCTGCCCGTTTCCGAGACACAGCTCTTCGTTCCGCAGCATCGCTTCCGATTGTGGGGTGTCGTCGGCCCCCTTCTTGTCGATAACCGGACAACGGTCCCTGGGGACTCTTGTAGGTCGCCGCCGTGGCGAAGACGGGGCCTTTGATGCCTGAGTGCCTCGCTCGGAACCCATCTGGAGGACATTGGCGACGTCGGTGGTGGACATCTGCGGACTTCACACCGGGAGTGCGTCGGCGCCCGAGGGCCTGCACGTGCCGCGGCAGAGCCGAGCGGCGAGCTCTTGAGGGAGACCGCCCACGATAGGGACAGAGGCTCCCGCCGGTCCGGCGTGCAGCGGTGACAAGGACAATATGAAGAAACTGGGAAGACGGACGACGCAAGAGGGGAGGGACGCTTGTGCGAGAAACGGGCCATGACCGACAATCGCGATGGTGGCAGCCGCGATGTCGAGTCGGGCGACGGCCCGGTTACGTGGTCCGAACCTACACCTCGGATCGAACCCTCGACTGCGACGTGCCCATGATGCGGTGTGGACAAGCGCGGTTTGGCGATCGGCACGCAGCATGCGGTGGCGGCGCGCCCCTCTCAGGCTCCCTCGGTATCCTTTCTCGATCCCGAGATCCCCAGCAGAATGTGAGTGGGATAAACCCTTTCTGCAAAGAGTTATGCGTTGCTGTGTAACGTTCATCCGGATACAGCACTCTAAAAAAAGCCCGTGTGCTTACTCTCCCGCAAAGCACTCAGAGAGCCAATCACCGCACCTTTCGGAGGCAGCTCAGCAAATGACGATGCCGAAACATATGTTAAGATTAAAAAGTGCCGTCGGAGTTGTGATGATAAGCAATGCAAGGCGTGATGTTTTGCATTGCTTAATGTCACAACTTGGACTGCGTTTTTTGGACAAAAACATGTTTCGGCATCGTCACTCGCAGAGCTTCCTCTGTATGTTCCGGTTATTGGCTCTCCCAGTGCTGTGCGGGAGTGTCACAGGCTCGTCGATACCGGGACACAGCCGGTCAGATCCTTGAAGCAGCTGCCGAACGTCGCGGCTCGTGCTCTTCACGCACCTTTTTCGCACCCGTCACTTCGTCATTCACGTTCTTCCTTCCACAAATCCATGACACCCCCCAACTTCAAGAAGTTTATAAGATAAACTTTTCTTTCTTGATGCCTGGTACTTCCGAGAACTCCATCTTGACGTCACCGAGCACAAGCCACCCCCACAATTCTCCTACACGACACGACCTTCTCGATGACCTTAAAACGACGTCCGGTTGCACCGCACCACACTTGGCCGGAGGGCCCTCTTCATCCACATTCGAATCGAGGATTTCTTTTGTGAGAACTCACTGTAGCCACACACATATGCAAAGGCCCCGTCTTAAGTCTGACAAAAGACGTTGGCACACATACAACACAAAAAGATATATATACATTGAGGGAACCCATCCTCTTCGGGGTCTCGACTAGTTATCCCTAACAAAAAATCTTAGGTTAAAAGAAAAATAAACGCCTAAATGCGGCTAAGAAAGTCTGCTCCCACGTTATTCCTGCCCTTTATGTATTCCACGTGAAAGCTATGATCTTGCAAAGCCATACTCCACCTCATCACTCGCCTGTTTGTATGCTTAGCTTTGTTTAGGAATTCCAGTGGTTGGTGGTCGGTCTGAACTCGAAAAGTTCTGCCGTACAGAAGCAACCTAAATCTGGCAACGGCCCATACCAATGCCAGACATTCCTTTTCTATCGTTGCGTAGTTCCTTTCTGCGGTGCTGAGCTTTCTACTGGCGTACGCCACGGGATGTAGCATTCCATCCTTTTCTTGAAGCATCACTGCACCCAGACTCGCGTCAGACGCGTCTGTCCTTAGCACGAACTCTTTCTCGGGGTCTGGCGCCAGCAAGATGGGAGGACGTCCCAGCCTGGTCTTTAGTTCATTAAAGGCCTCCTCTTGCTCCGGCCCCCATTCAACCTCATTGCGGACTCCTTTTCTGGTGAGGTCTACTAACGGCGCGGCAAGACCCGCATAGTCCTCTACGAACTCGCGGTAGAACCCCGTGAGTCCAAGGAACGATCTTACTTGTCGCTTCGTTCGCGGTCTTGGTACGTCTTGAATCCGTTCAATGATCTTAGGGTCCGGTGATATCCTTCCCATTCCGATCTCGTGTCCCAGAAAGCTGATCTCCTTAAAGCCCACTTCACATTTCTTTGGCTTTACGGTAATATTAGCCTCGCGCAGGCGCCTAAAAATGCAGCGAAGCGTATCAACGTGCTCTCTCCACGAGCTTGTGGCGATCAGGATGTCGTCGATGTAGTGGTGTGCATCTGGGATGCCGTCTAACAATTTTCGCATCAGTTTCGTGAATGTCGCAGAAGCCGTTCTTAAACCAAAGGGCATGACCTTGAATTGGTAAAGCCCACTCGTCGAAGAGAAGGCAGTCTTTTCCTTGGCCTCTTCTTTCATAGGTATCTGCCAGTACCCTTTTGCTACATCAAGCTTCGAGAAGAAGCGCTTCTGTCCCGCCTTAGCAAACGTGACGTCGATCCGTGCTATTGGTTCCGCATCGGGCTTGGTCACGTCATTGAGCCTCCTGTAGTCAATGCAAAACCTGTTTGACCCGTCTTTTTTCTTTACCATTACCACTGGCGCGTTGTATGATGAGTTACATCTCTCAATCACGTCCAGCTCTAACATCTCGTCGATTTCTTGCTCGACTGTTTCCTGAACCGACAGCGGCAGTGGGTACTGCTTCACATGTATTGGTCGGGACGTAGTCAGTTGAAGGTCACAGGTCAGCAGACTCGTCCTGCCTGGAAGGTTCGAAAATATATCTTTGAAGTCCTCAATCAGCTCTCGTACCTCATCACGCTTTTGGGATTCCAAGTGTTCGTTTATGTTGACGTCTTCCCATCCTTGCTGCCTCGTCCAGCTTGGCGTAGGAATTTCCTCTGTATCTTCAAAACTTAGCTCGCTTGCGACTTCATCTTTCTCTTGAGAATCCATTACCATACCGCAATGTTGTCTACCTTGTTGACTTCCTTCTCTTTCTTCATATCTTTTAAGCATATTGATGTGAAACACCTTTTTCTTGCCTCCTACGTCTAACTCGTAATCCACATCATTCTTTCTTGCGACTACGGGGAAGGGACCTTTCCATTGCATGATCATCTTGTTCAGATCGGTGGGGAGCAGAATGAGCGCCAGGTCTCCTTGCTTCATATTTCGGTTGCAGCTCTTCCTGTCATAGTATTTCTTATACTTCTCCCTTGCTTCATGCAGGCATACGTGCGCCAGCTTGCACGTTTCCTCTAGTTTTTCCCTTAGTTCCAAGATGTATCCATATGCCGTCTTCATGTCTTCCTTCAGGGCTTCGTTCGACCACAACTCCTTGAGGATGGCCAGTGGTCCTCGTACTCTTCTCCCGTATAGCAGTTCAAATGGCGAGAACCTGAGGCTAGCCTGGGGCACCTCTCTGTAGGCGAAAAGCAAAGCTGGGAGATATCTATCCCAATCCTTTGGTCTTTCTTTGCACATCCTCCTTAGCATCTGCTTGATGGTGCCATTAAACCTCTCGACCAGGCCGTTGCTGATGGGATGATAGGGAGTGGTTAAGAGTTGCTTCATCGATAGAAGCCGGCTCACCTCTCCCATTAGCTCAGAGGTAAAGTTGGTGCCGCGATCGCTAAGGATCTCTGCCGGTACTCCATACCGCGTGAACATCTGAACCAACGCCTCGGCTACCTGCTGGGACCCAATGCTCTTCAATGCTACTGCGTCAGGATACCTCGTGGCCATGTCAACCATTGTAAAAATATACCTGTTCCCCGAGCTTGCGATAGGCACTATAGGACCGATGATATCTATCGCGACTCTTTGAAAAGGTGTATCGATGATTGGCATGCTTCCTAAGGGGGCCTTGCCCACCTTGCCTTTGGGTACGGTGCGTTGGCACACGTCACACGAACGAATGTACCTTTTGATTTCGCTTTGCATACATGGCCAAAAGAATTCTTCCGCCACCAGATTGAGGGTGTTCTTCGCCCCCTGGTGTCCGGACATAACGCTGTCATGTGCCATAGTTACAGCAGCGGCCCTGAACCTTTTTGGGAGAACCAGTTGTTCTGATCTTCTGCCGGATGAGTATACGACGCTCCTGTATAGCAGGTCGTTCTTCAGCAGAAACTGAATCCTTGTCCTGGAATTATGTTTCTTCGTTGTCTTCCCTACCTCGTTGAAACACTTCGTAAGAGTAGTGTGGTATCTGGAGTAACAGGCCGATGGGGTTCTTCGCTGGCACATCTTTATTGCAGGACTACCGGAGTACGACACAGTCACGGGCGTGAGAGAGCGGCAGGATAGCAGCGGGTGGTGCAAACGGTGCGCTGGCTCAGATAGGTATGGCGCCCCGGAACAGTGGCGCGAGACGCACGAGCGCGCGCTAGCTGTTGCCCGCTTATTGTGTCACCCATACAACACTCCCCCACACTTAGTTCAGCACAGTAATACCATTCGACGGCGTTCCAGTGCAATACTCACAAAGTAACACGATATGACAATTTAACAAAACACGAGAATAATTGAAGTTCTGGAAAGTACAAAGTACAGACATACTAAATACAAAATAATTACAGTTCTGAAAAACACAAAGTCCTCGTCTTTTTCTCTTCCTTCTCAAGGCGAAAACCTATTAGGCGCACGCCGTTGCCGTTCGGGATACCGGCGCTGAATTTCTTGCGGCTGGGCTGGGGAACGACCGGAGACTGGAGTTGATCCCATGTCTTGTCCCTCTACCACCGGTGACCCAACTGGAGGCAGCTCGTTCACGAGTCCCCCTTGCCCTGGGGTTGGCGATGATGGCAGGACACTCGGTATCAGCAAACCACCTTCCTCCTCCTCTGGGGTAGAGCTCTCCCGCAACCGCAGGTGGTCTTGGTGTCGCCGCCACACGAAGGTCCCCCGCGGTGTGGTCACGCGAAGCCTGTAGGAGACCGGTCCGGATCTAGCCATGACGACTCCGTGCAACCACCTCTCACCCGGCCGGAAGTTCTTGACGTACACCTTATCACCCGGCACGAAGTGTCGGTGTTTGCCACTGTGCTTCACCTGTAGCACGTCCTGCTTGCGGTGAACAGTTTCCTCTGCAGAGGGTCGCAGTCTGTCGAGACGGGTAGTGAGCCGCCGCCCAAGCAGCAACTCCGCAGGACTCTGAAGGGTTGTGGCGTGCGGTGTGTTTCTGTAAGCTAACAAGAAACTTGCTAGTCGACGGGACAGAGGCCGGCCCGGCATCTCTTTTCGTAAAGCCTCCTTCAGGGTGCGGATGAAACGCTCAGCCAGCCCATTACTTGATGGATGGTAGGGGCGGTCCTGACGTGCCTCACACCGTTCTCTCGCAAGAAAATCTGAAATTCTTGGGAACAAAATTGGGGGCCATTGTAACTGACAACAACATCTGGCAGACCGAAATGACTAAACAGCTCCCTCAGCTTTTCAATAGTTGCTTCGGCCGATGTGCTGTTCATCACAAAAACCTCGGGCCACTTGGAGTGGGAGTCGACGCTCACCAGAAAATGGCGGCCCTGGAAAGGTCCCGCAAAATCCAAGTGCAGCCTTTGCCACGGACGAGTTGGCCAGGACCACGGATGCAGCGGGGCTGGACCTGGAAGACTCTGCTGCTGTTGGCAGGTATCACACGACCTGACGCGATATTCAATATCCGCATCGACCTCCGGCCACCATACATAGCTGCGTGCCAGTTCTTTCATCCTTACGATTCCAGGATGCCCTTCATGCAGCTCGTCCAGTACGCGTTCGCGCAGTCCCTTCGGGATCACAACCCTCATTCCCCACAAAAGGCAATTCTGGTGCCACGTCAGCTCGCTTCTTCTTGCAGAGTAACGCTTCAGACAATCTTCTACTTTTGCGGGCCACGCACCGGCAAGGAACCTTGCCACTTGACAGAGCTCTTTATCTTTTACTGTAAATTGTGCGATCTCTTGGCTGCTTACCGGAAAAGACTGCAGGCGGAGACTGAGAAACGCCGCGACGTCATCCTCGTAGTCTTCATCCTGAAAGCCAGGAACTGGAAGTCGTGACAAGCAGTCCGCCTCCACGTTGAGTCGACCCGGTCGGTAAACCAATCGGTACTGATAGGCGGAAAGGGTAATAGCCCATCTCTGCAGACGTGCGGCAGCAATGCTCGGAATTCCCGTCTTTGGACCCAGAATGGTTTGCAACGGTTCGTGATCAGTGACCAACACGAAGGATCGTCCAAACAAGTAGATGTGAAATTTCTTCACGCCAAACACAATAGCCAGTGCCTCCTTTTCTAGTTGGCTGTAGTTCTTTTCACTCGATGTCAAGGTTCTCGACGCAAACGCGATAGGCCGTGTGTCGCCGTTGGAGTACACCCTGGACAGGACGGCTCCGAGACCGTATGCCGAGGCATCACATGACACCTGAAGGTCTGCCTTGGGGTCGTAGTGTGCCAGGACAGGTGCGTCAACCAGAAGCCTCTTCACCATGTTAAAAGCGTCTTGACAGCGCTTGCTCCAGGTCCAGACGACATCTTTTCTTAGTAGCTCGTTCAGCGGTGCTATTGTGGTCGAGAGGTCTGGGAGGAACTTTCCGTAGAATGTCACCATTCCCAAAAACGACCGTAACTGTTTTGAGTCTTGCGGTTGAGGTGCATCGAGGATCGCTTGCACATTTTCTGCCAACACAGCTACCCCTTGCTCGCCGACTTGGTGCCCCAGGAACTTCAAACTTGCCTCAAGAACTCACACTTTTCTTTCTTGACTCGGACGCCCTTGTCACTCAGTTTCTTTAGGACTTGCTCCAAATTCTTCAGGTGATCCCCGGCGGTCTTCCCTGTTACCAATATATCGTCGAGATAGCAGGTTACTCCTTGAATTCCCGCCAGCAAGCTGTCCATTATCTTTTGAAACAGTGCTGGAGCTGAAGCGATCCCAAACGCCAAACGCTTGACGCGGAAGAGACCCTTGTGCGTGTTGATTGTCAGATAGGGTTGTGACTCAGGGTGGACCGGAACTTGCTGGTATGCACGACTTAAGTCTATTTTCGAGAAAACAGTCGCCCCAGCTACCGTTGCTAGAATATCTTCCAACCTTGGCAACGGGTACTGCTCCACGTCCAGGCAAGGGTTTACCGTTGTTTTGTAGTCCCCGCAAAGGCGTACAGACCCATCCTTCTTCAAAACCGGGACAACTGGTGTAGCGTAGTCACTATGGGCCACCGCTTCAATGACACCTGTCACCTCCAGTCTCTTTAGCTCTTCTTCTACAGCTGGCTTCAGGGCGAACGGCATACTTCTAGCTTTCAGAAACTTTGGACTCGCACCTTCCCTTAAGCTTAGCCGAGCCTCTTCCCCTCGCATGCATCCGAGCTCGTCCTTGAACAAATCCTGGTAGCGTATTAGGATGTCTTGGAGAGACGCTTTTACATCAACGCTGACCGCGTTTAGCGATCAGCGTTTGTAGACCCAGTCTCTGCCAATCAAAGGTGGCCCATCTTCTCCCAGTACGTGAAGCGGAAGTTTTCCTTTGAAGTCTCGGTACTCTACGTCCACCGTCGCCACTCCTTTTGGCTTGACACGCTCGCCGGTGTACGTGCGCAGTATTAGTGACGCCGGAGACAGCTCTGTGCGAGGAAACAACGATTGGAACTGGCGTTTCGAAATGATAGACACGGCAGCACCGGTGTCTAGTTCCATCTGAAGAGGAGCGTTCCCGACCTTGAGCGTGTAGTAGAACGGCGCATTCATGTTTCTGTCTTGAAGCCCGTATATCGCTTCACTCTTTTCTTCCTCAGCGGAGAAGTTTCTGAACTGTTTTGCTCTGCCTGGTGTATTGGCCAGTGATGCTTTACAGAAACGTTGGAAGTGACCCTCACGGTTGCAGCGATAACAAATAGCGTTACGGTGCGGGCATGACGAGGCAATGTGCTTAGGGGACCCACAACGGAAACATTTGTCCTGAGCCCCCACTACCGCTTTCGGTTTCACCGCCGTCAGTTTCTGCAGTTCGAGTTGGTCGTTGTCCGCCTTATTATGACACGCCTGCACATTCATGGTGGCTCTTTCAATAGTTAACGCTTTTTCCACAGCTTTCTTGAATGTCAGGCTCTCATCTTCGGCAAACAAAACTCTCTGAATGTCAACACGACTCAGACCGCTGACGAATCTGTCTCTGAGGGTTTCTTCCAGGTTGCTTCCAAAATTGCACGTCTGTGTCATTCTTTTGAGCTCGGCGACATATTTTCCGACCGATTCCCCTTCCTGTTGTTCTCTCTTATGGAACGTTGCCCTTTCTGCGATGACCGACGGCCTCGGCGACAAGTGGTTTCGCAAAACGGCCAGCACATCTTCAAAACTCTTCAATGCCGGGTCCTCAGGCGCTACTAGAGTCTTGAGCAACTTATACGTGTCAGCTCCTATGAGGCTTATGACCACGTCAACTCGGTTTGCGTCCGCTACCCCGTTCGCTCTCAAAAAGGCTCGCAACCTTTCCTCGTAGGATAACCAATCACACTTCGTGTCATCAAAAGGTTCGACTTGCCCGAATAAGGCCATCGTGACTGCCGTCCGGTCCTCTGGTCCTTGATTCAAGATGCCAGATACTGGAACATCGGTTGAAAGGCCCTCAGTTGCTGAGTCGTCCGACGGTCTCTGCATCCCGTTGTAGCAGCGAAATCCGTGTCCTCGTCGCCACTGTGTGGTATCTGGAGTAACAGGCCGATGGGGTTCTTCGCTGGCACATCTTTATTGCAGGACTACCGGAGTACGACACATAGTCACGGGCGTGAGAGAGCGGCAGGATAGCAGCGGGTGGTGCAAACGGTGCGCTGGCTCAGATAGGTATGGCGCCCCGGAACAGTGGCGCGAGACGCACGAGCGCGCGCTAGCTGTTGCCCGCTTATTGTGTCACCCATACAACAAGTAGCGTCCTCTTTCTGCTGCTTTCCGAGTTCCTCGGCTGTTGTGTCGGTTACTGACACCTGCGCGACTTTGAGAGGGCGTTCTAGTTTTCTTATTGGACTTCCAGCTTCTCTCCCCTCGCTCGCGGACGCAGCTACGGCTGGCTTTTCATCCGGGAGCTCGTCGATGCTCTTGGTTGCTTCCATTGACCTGCGACGGCCCACGTTGACTCCGATGGCGTTGGAACACGTTTCGTATCTCTCCTTCGGCTTGTCTAGGCAGTCGCCGAGATTGTCTTCATTGTTCTTTTCCCATTCTGGGTCAGGGTCATTAGCCTCCCGCATTTGCGGTATGTTTCCCAGTATCAAGTCGTATAGGGGGTTACTGACGCACTTCGCCGTTACCTTTCCCGTGTAGTAGGGCGTTTGTATCACAATAACCACCTCCGGCAGGTACCGAACTGTTCGATCTAATAAAAACACTGGACTCGACTTTCCAGTTAGGTTCTCTTGAGGGACTAGTTCTTTGCGAACAACCACGGTGTTGCAGCCGGTGTCCCTTAACACCGTTATCTTGTGTTCTCCCAGTCGTCCTTCCACTACCGGCATGTTCTCTGACAGAAATTTCGGGGCTCTCCCCATGACCGCATTCACTACCGGGATCTTGTCACCATTATCCAGGGTGACATAGGAATCATCGGCGCTTTCGCAATTATCTGTTGGCACCGTGTACAAGCACGACGCCTGATGTTTCTCGCTCTGCCTTCTCTTACAGTTCTCTGCCTTATGACAACTACGGCCGCCATTCCAACATGTCAGTGACCTCATAGCTTGGCCGTTACTTCTGCAGTTTTCTGCCTTGTGCCCAATCTTCCCACAAAGGAAGCAGCGGATACTCTTTCGGAGACCACCCCTTGCGTGTTTATCTTCGTTTCCAGCGTCTTGCCTGTTTGTCGCCTCGTCTCGCTTTTGCTTACCCGTGCTATGCTGCACCTGGGCCTCCAAGAAGAGGTCAGCTTTAGCTGCTACGTCATCCAACCTCTGACAGTCGCGCTCTCTCAGGAAGACCGTCAGCTTGCTCGAGCATGTCAACAGAAATTGTTCCACTAGGATGATGTCTCGCAGTGATTCGAACGTTTTCTCAACTCCCGCTATCTCGAGCCATCTATCAAAGTACCCTGCCAGTCGAGCAGCAAATTGTCCCATCGTTTCGCCGTCCTCGGGTTTGGCGTCGCGAAACCTCTCGCGGTATCCTTCTTTAGTGTAACGAAATCGCTGGAACAGCGCCAGCTTGACCTTGGCGTAGTCTAGAGCATCTTCAGGTGTCAGTCGGCCGACCACCGTCAGCGCCTCTCCGGTC